TACCTATTGCATTTGTATCCATCCAGACACTAAATCAATTAAAACATTTCATCCCAGGGCATCGGCTATGCAAAAATTAGTATGAGGAATTATTTATTCTTTGATTAATTTTTTTTTTTACCAGCAAAACCTATAATGAGCTCATTTTGTATATATAACGTTTTTAACAAGTCTAACTTTCAGGAATTTTAAACAATTATCTATTCATAAAATTGTACGCTACTCAATTAACATTCATCTGACAAAATTCTTAATGTCCATAAAGTATAGAAAAACCAATTTTCATTTGTTAGTTTTACATTTAATCAAAGTATTAATTTTCTCCTTGGGAGATGATAGAATCATGCATGAGTTAACTAATTTCCAAGGTTAGCCGGCCCAGACTCAGACCTGTTGCTATTAATTCGTGATCTTAGTGACTTAAGGTAACGAGGCCACTAGCAAGTTTAAGGAAATAAAGCCATTTGCTGATTTAATAGGAGAGACATCTGGGAAGATTTTGCAAGAAGTCGTCAGCAGATTCCCCTCAGTCTGTTCTAGATAGATTGTAAAAGGGATTTTAGGTTTATGCTGGCTTCGAGACATCCACCTTTGGCTATGATATGTTACCTAGCTTTTAACTGAAAACCTTATAAGTTGGAAGTCTTTTTCAATAATTTTACGCCAAAACCGAGCCTATAAAACTGGGAAAATCCACCAACGATTGCCTTTATTAAGCTGCTAAAATCATGTCATTATTTATTACGCTAAACTTTGTTTACCTCAGTTACAAATGAATCATCATGCCTGTCTATTTAAAAAGTGTTTTAAATAATTCAACTGTGTACAGAGGCAAATAGATAATGAAGACAATACGCTTTTCTATCCACTATTAAGGAACCGTAATTTCGTATTAAGTGCAGAGCTTATTAATTGCAAAATTCGCTTCCCATACCAATGAACTTTTTCATTCTTCGCAGACTTCATTTATGCTATTTATTTTAGCTCTCCAGGGGGAGGGGGAAATAATCTGATTATTCTAGTTAAGTGTGAATTAAATTTTTCTTTTTTTCTATCTATGAGTAGTCTAGTAAACTTGCAATTCATTACAACGTTTATGAAAAGCTAACTCTATTGTATATTCATAATCACGCTATAAACTAAGCATGTATGCTCTGTACCTATTCCATAATTGCACGACCGTCAATCTCTCCGCTAAACGCACTTGTCGCCCCAAGGCCACCACAGCCCGTGCTACAACACCTCAAAGAAGAGGAGAGTGAAGAGGAGAAAAAGGCGCGCGGTTCATCCTCCTCCTCGTCAACATCGAACAGCCTGAACACCAAAGTTTTTCCCAGTTCTCCCATTCCTCTCATCACTACCACCTTGACGCTTCCTTCGCCCACAAACGAAGAGGCCACCTTCGCGGGTCTCGAGTTGGAGGAGGACGGTGTGTTGTGCGAAGGGGAGAGCGACGAGCAAGACAAAGAGGCCGACAACTTCTATCCTGACGAAGTTTCCAGCAGAGCCAGACTGTCAGGCGCATTCACTCTCACAGTTCCCACGCTCGAATCCGCCAGCTCAAAAGATCTTCTTCGAATTTCGAGGCTTCGGCGCAAGAGCCTGCAAACCCTCGGCCACGGGCAGCTCGAGAGCCCCACCCTACCGCGGTACTCAACCAACTCGCAGTATCTGGCCCGAAATTCTTCGGACCTCTCCTCTTTCGGGCCAGCCTCTGATGGCGCCACCTCATATGCTCCCTTCGCCCTCAACGGAGTCACACGCAGCGACCTGTTGGTACTGGAGACCTCGGTGACCCGACGCATGGTCGACTTGCAGCAGGGCGTGAAAGAGCAAATCCTCGGCCTCTCCGACAAGATCGTCGCGCTTGAGCGACAGGTCAGTCTGCTGGCGGATCACTTGGCAGCGAAAGAGCAGCGAAATGATGCTCGACCATCTGCTTTCTGGCCGTCAGATCTGGCCCCCCTACAGGCCTCGGCTCGACTGCAGCCTCCATTGCTGTTGCCTAGGCAACCGATCAGCTCTCAGGTCCGGCCGTCCAGACGACCGGCGCCGCTTTCCCCGTTGCCCAGCCTCAAGAGGTCGGTACAGTCCGTCTGGCCGGTCTCGGGGTCGGGCCTGCCGACGTCTGAATATCCGCAGACGACCGGACCTCCG